TATATATATATATATATCCTCCATCAAATAATAAATTATGGTAATTTGATCGAAAGTTGATTAAGGAACTATACCTTAATGAAAACATTTTTGGCCTTACAAGGACCACTCAGTTCTAATCTCCTCACGAAGAATACTTTTCCTGAAGGTATGAGTAGAGTTGCTGGCCCTGTCATTCCACACACATGTTGCCATGCACTTAAAAATACCTGCAATCACTTAGAATATATAATATTAATATATTTTGGATCTTCATTTTTGCCTAATATGAATTTTTTTTTTAGTAAAGTATACTTGGAGATAGACTTCCCATTACATAAAAGAGTGGAATTTAATTTATCAGATGTATAAATTATTTTTTAAGAAAAATGGTAACACAGAGAAAGCAACATATACCTTTGAATCATCGGTTATGCCGTTGCCACGAGCTCCTTGATCCATCACATTAACATATGTCATTATACACAAAGTAGGTGAAACCAAAAAATGAATCAAAATATAAGAGATTATTAGCCATTTCATTTTTAACAATAGAGAACTCGCAAATTAAAGAAGAATTTTCATTTGCTAATCTATGAAGGAAGATTGGTGTGTGGGGTTTAAATACATTAAGACTGCTTTACAGTAATTGGAAATGAGTAATTAACGAATCGGAATAAAAATGTAAATATATGAAACATATCATAATCATTAAAATAATCTGTTATTTATTTATTTTATTTTGTAATCCAAGATATGCTTTTAATGTTATGAAAATAAATTTTTTTTCCATAAAAAAAAATCATAGAAAATGCAAATATCTTGTTAAAAAATACCTAACAGCGCGCATTTACCTTTTTTAATATAAAACGTCTATGAATAAATTATTGATTAATTAATTGAGTAAATTATGTCACATATCATTATATTGGTTGATATATATCTATTTTTTAGTAATTCATTACTTAGGGGGTGTATTGGATTAGGATTTTAAAGGATTTTTTTAGTTAAAAAAAAATTCTGCGGATTTTAAAAGACTTTGCAGGATTTTCATGACTTTTAAGATTTTGCAGGATTCTACAAAACTTAAAATCAGGATTTTAATAGATTCTGCAAGACTTTTAAGTCAGGATTTTAATGGATTCTGTGGGATTTTGTAAAATTTTCGTGGATTTTTGACACTTGATAAGATTTCAAAAACAAAATTTCATACATTCAAATTTAAAAAGAGTAAAAGACAAAAATAATAAAAAATAACAATGTCTAGATAAATAATAATAATAATAATTCTCCATAATATCTTATCCTTTTAAATAACATTCACCCACATATTCATAGTTATACTAGTCCTCCAAACATTAGCGTCTTTTCGCTCTTGCTCCTGGGTTTGAATAATAGGTTTAAAAGTATGATCTTCATTAATCGATAACGTTGAAGACGAAGATTCATTCACCGCTTCAATTGGAAATTCATTAGAACGACATTCTTTACATAGAAAGTTATGTAGTGTTGCACATACTAACACAAGTTCTACTTGTGTCTTAAATAAAAATGGAGGTGCTGACTTAAAAATTGTGAACCTTGATTAAAAAATACCAAATATTTTCTCGATCACATTTCTTAAAGGCGCATGACGAAGATTGAACAATTCTTTCTCATTTTCAGGGTCATTACCCTGACCTGCAAAATCTTGTAGATGATATCTTACACCTCGAAATGGAGCTAAAAATCCGCGTCGATTAGGAAATCCACAATCCACCAAAAAAATGTTTACCTAATTACATATGCAATATATATAATATTAGTATAATAATAATAATCATTATAATTATTATTATTATTCAAAGAATAAGCATTTAGATATTTAGATATATAGAATATATATATATGTATGTATATATATATATATTATTTTAGTTATATATTATATGATAATTTTTAATGATATTTATAAATGTAAATTATTATAACAAATATTTTAGCAATATTTCCTCTTTTAAAAAATAAGCTAATGAAGACATAAATCTTAAACCCTAAAAAATTAGATACTGCAATGTCTTATGTTAATTTTCTTTTTTTCAAATATAAAAAAGTCCTAATTTCATAATATAAAAATAAAAAGAAAAATTTATAGTAAAAAAAATAAAATAATTGTTGGGTCGTAAAAGGAGGGGGATAAGAGTAACAAATTTAAAAGAAGGAGAGAAATCGCAGTTTTTATGCTGATGGTTCTTCCCCCAACTAGGATCCATTTTCATCTCATTCTACTCATAGAAACCCTAACAAATTCATCTTTTATATATATATATATTGTAGAGATTATGATATCAATTTCATCTTTCACCTTTTTCTTTTCTTGACGTGTGTTATAAAAAAAATTACCACCTAAAAGTTGAAATTTAAAGCATTTTTTTGTGTTATATAAAGGAACAAATTCAACTACATAGAATAAAATAAAGCAAGTCAATTAAAGAGAACGAACAGAAAAATAGAGCAAATTAATGAAACTATCATTTACATATCGGAGCTTCACAAAATAGGGGAATGGGATGAGAACAATACTATAATATTATATATGAACAATGAAAAATAGTGCAATATTATTAGCAGAGAAAAAATGAAGAAGATAGGAACATAGAAAATAAAAAGATGAAAAACTCACTTGAAATTCTTGAAAAGTCACTTCAAACAATCCTTTAAAATCCGATGGGTTTGGATGAAATTATTTTATGAATTTGGTATTTATAGATAACACTAGAAAGTCCTTCAAAATCTCTCTCACACAACAATCTTTTAAAATCCTTATATTTTTGAATACCAATGAATTGTTTTTAAGTTGTAAAAAATCTCAAATGAATACCAATGGATTTTAATGGACTCTTTAAAAAATCTTGAAAATCCAGATTGAATACCACTAGATTATTTTTAAGTGACATAGAATCCTGATTGAATACCAATGAATTTTTTTACTCCAAAAAAGTCTTTTAAAATCCTACGTAATCCTAAACCAATACATAAAAATTATACAATTAAGGGTAACTTAGAACAATTTATAGATGAATAATTTTCAGTAATTTTATTTTAAAAAGTGTGAATAACATAAAGCACGCTAAAAAGTTTTGGATTTGTTTTGGTTAGCTGTTTATATTAAAGATGGTCGAAAATTTAAAAAAACGTTTTGGAATTAAATGACCGGATGAAATGTTATGAAGTGAAACTACTAAAATGTCAAATTTGAGAGATGTTACATTTTTCTCCCTCTTATGATATACAAATATATTACATTGTTCTCCTTTCTTATATAATGATCCGGTAGATCTATAAACTTGTTATAGGACAATAACTTAGTAACAAAAAACATAAAAATCATCTAATAACCTAAGATTCTCGTGCAAGCAAAACAAGGTAAATGAGTAGAAAATTTAAGATGGTCTCTATTTATAATAGTTTGAAAACAAAAAATTTCTCACTGAAATTATAGCAAACACACATATATTCATTATTATAATAATTTTTAAATATATATACATTTTTCATTATATTTATTTTTTATATTATATTACGTTATTTTAGATTATTAATATATTATCATTATAATAATATTTTTTATTTCTTAAAATTACAGTATCATTCTATTATTATTTTATTTATTTTTTTACTTATGATATTTATATTTGATATTAACTAGTATTTTAGCTGCAACGCATGGGCCAAATAATTATTATGTGACTAAAATTCACAATGAGTTATGTATATAAATAAATATTATTATGTTTAAATATATAAATAGATACTTTTAAACATTTAAATTTTATTTTAAATTTATAATAAATAATTTATATTGTAACATTATTTTTTTTATTGATAATTTATTTTAAAATATTAAAATTTATTTCATAAATAATTATGTAAATAAAAATTAAATTAGTTAAAAAAAAAATATTTAGAAATTCTTTCATTGAAGAAAAGATCTCAAAAACATTCTTGAGTAAGATAAAAATTCTTGTTTAATATATAAGAGTAGATGTTATTTGTAACACCCTGATTTTTATAAAATTATATTAATAATACATAGTGTACTGACTGTACTTAGCGATACAAAGCAACCCCGGGCACACGCTGAGTGACGTCAACCCGGTATTTAGGGCCCGGTATTTGGGTAGATCATTCCTGAACTTGGGGATCTCGTCCCAGATCAGAACCGCCCTCCAATTATATCATATCATATCTCATCATATCATATCATACCATATCATATGATATATTATCATATCATATCTTATGTCAGGCCCAAGGCCCAAGACAACCCTAATTCACACAAAGGTATGTGCATTATTTATACGAGACTCATACTCCCACAAACACTAACTTTGGCATCGGAGTCTCTTTTGCAGGTACCTCCCCCATCTTGGAGCACCAACGCATCAGCAAAGGAGGCTCATCGATCTTACTAGACGGTCCACCCCTACGACCAAATTCTGGTAAGAACATTTGGCGCCCACCATGGGACCGATCAAGACCAGCTCTTATCGGCCATTCTTATGGTTTTCACTAGAAGCCATAACAGACGCGCAACAGACGACCTAGATCGCTCAACTACCATGGATAGTGATACAGCAACATTGAGGAGGCTGATCGACCAGGTCGAGCAGATGCGGAAACAACATGCCGCCAACCTACAAAGCATGCGTGCCAAGCACGAAACTGATCTAGCAGCAACGCGTACCGCTAATGAAGCCGACCTAGCGGCACTACGCGCCGAGAACGAGCGCATTCACACCCAACTCCCTCGGCGTCCCTCAGATCAACCTCCTCCGCAAAGTAACCTGAATAAGGATGAAGGGCACTCGTTTTCACAATCGCCAACCACCGACTCCCAAGCCTCCCACACATCGGTCTCACGCACCGACGAACAGGTCGACGCACGACGTCAGCAACGCCCCTGCCCACGGCACAGGGAATTAGACGACCTTCCGCCGCCATCCTTTCATGGACGGTATCATAGAGACACCTCTCCCCTTTGGGCGGA